CTTAATGCATGTAATTCAAACTGTTTCAAGCTGAAAAGAACAAACATAGTTTATGTTCCACATTATATCTTTTATGATTGCTTGTGTCTTTAGATGCTCGCGTTAAGCATGACAGATTTATGAATTTCTCTTGAGAGTAAGGGTAATTTCCTTGCACAGATTATGTAACATGATAAAAGGGAAAACATACCGAATGCTGGATTAATATAACTTGTATGTTTTTTTTTTTTATTTTTTACCTCTGTTAATGTACTCTTGATTCATCATATTTATTTTCTTTCCATGTAGCAGAAAAACATCAGATGATCGACTCGTACGATGTCTTAAATGACCTCCATGATGCCATCAAAAAGAAGGAAACTAAATCCGTTCTGAACATCATCTCAAAGAATGGTGACCTTGTAAACAGGGTCCTGATTGGCCACACAGCCTTGGCCTTGGCTGTAGATCTCAAGGTCATTGACGTAATCGATGCTGTGATGACCAGTTCTGACCTAGATATCAACACTACGGACAGGTTCGGCCGATCTGCATTGTATTTTGCATCCAAGACTGGTCAAATACCGTTAGTAAGGAAGCTGATGACACTAGGGGCTGATATAAACCAATCAAAGTTATTGTTACATGGTTGTGCTCATGGTTGCAATGATGAGGAGACAACAGTATACGAGCTAGTGAGTTTAGGAGCTGATGTCAATGATGTGGATGAGAAAAATAGAACGCCACTGCATATCGCTGTACAAAACTCGCTTGTGAATGTAACCAAAGCTCTGTTGAAAAGTAATGCAAATGTCAATGCTATCGAAAATACATCTCGGACTCCTTTACTGATATGTGCAGGTAAATCTCTGATCTCATGTGACGTCAATAGCGAAGAGGAATACTCAAGATCCTTAAAAATAATAAGTTTATTGTTAGAATATGGCGCTGACATCAATGTTTCAGATGAAAGGGGATATACCGCGCTTCACATTGCTCTACAAAACGGAAACACATTGGCAGCGTCTGTACTTCTTCACCACGGAGCAATCTCTAACTCCCTTAAAGAAGAAACAGTCAAATCTGCCTACGAAGTTGCGTTATCTAAAAATCATTTAGAGGTCGCTTTCATTATTCTCCTAAATTTTTATAGATACTTTGAAAGCTTTCCTTTAGAATTCTATAGGAAGACGGAAAAGGACTTGCAGGATAAAGAAAGAGATAAAAATGAGGTCAACAACTACATCTGGGCTTTGAAAAAGTCTTTAGAAGACATGTACATTCTAAATTGTAGTCGAGATGACATTGCTCTTGCAACAAAGGAACCACATTTATTATCAAGAAAGGTACCGAAACTTCAAAATTTGTGTAGGCATATAGTATTACGGAATTTGAACCTTAAAAATTGCAGCATTTCACTACCAACAGCCCCACGTTTACAACGCTTTATATTCTTTGACACCAAGTTTGCTGCTGTAGGTTCGTCGATACTTACGGACATCCACGTGGCTGCGCGTACGGGAAACCTTGAACAATTAAGTCAGAGACTGACCCAAAAAATCGTTGATATAACATTTGATGAATTTTCATTACTTGAAATTGCCATATCAAGACAAAGTATCTCCTTGACAAATTTCCTATTGGAAAATGGCGCAGACCCAAACAAAGAAACAAAAGAAGGACTGTTACCTCTGCATTTGGCATGCCGCCAATATTGTCTGGAAATAGTCCAACATCTTCTGGAATTTGGAGGCGACGTTAAGGCATTTGACAAGCATGGTAACTTGCCAATACACGAGGCCTGCATTGCTGGACATTTCGATATCGCCGAACTGCTAATTCAACATGACTCTGAGTTTGACTTCCCGGATAGCAATGGCCGGTACCCAATTCATTATTCCTCGGCTAGTGGTAATTGTCATTTCACGAATATTCTTCTCCAGTTAGGAGTTGATATTAACACGACTGATACTTTTGGATATACAGGACTTCACCTCGCAGCAAGTAGGGGTAATCTTTATCTTATGAAAAACATTGAACTAGCGTATATGTTCGAAAGAGAACTGCTAATGAAAGGTTACATGTTTACGCTGCAGTATTCGTGTAATATCAAATGTGTTCCAAAGCCGAACTATGCGCCAGGAGTCGATCACATTAAAGTTATTGAAATTATGTTAAAATCAGGATGTAACAGTACCGCATTATGTAAAAAGGACAAGTCTGCATTAGATATTACAAGGGATTACAGTTTCACGGATGTGATCAACAGTACTTAAGATAAGTATGTACTTGGAAGTCAAGTACTGTTGACGGGCATTGTCTCGCTAGGACTTTATCAAAATAATTGTTTAAAATGTTTTTTTTTCTGCCAATATAACTGTTACCAAAGCAAATCACTTTGTTTTTTTTTCCAATTTAGAATAATATTCAATATAGAGATTCCATGCATACAAGGAAGGTTCTGTAAATTTTGTTAATACATAATCTCTTTACCCGTGGAGAAAGCATTCTTTATCAATCAGATTCATGTGTGCTTGTATCTCATTTAAAGTTGATGATCCGTTTTATTTGGATTAAAAAAAAAGTTTCTTTGCTTGAATTATAAATTTATTAAAACATTCTAGAAGTACCGTGAGCAATGAGTTCATTATAAACGATTCTTCCGCCTCCCATATAAGTTTAGAAAAAACATTATAGGTAATATAATTTATCATGTGAACGTAATAATGGCAAACAACCTAAGTTATGCCTTGAATGCTCAATTCAGCTTTTCTGATCACATCTTGTCTGTAGTCCGTCGTTCTAGCTGTCTGTCTGTAAACTTTTAATATTTTTGACTTCTTCTCCAAAACCACTGAGTCAATTTCAACCAAACTTGCCACAAACTTCTTGGGTGAACGGGATTCAAGTTTTTTGAAATGAAAGGCCCCGTCCTCTTTCAAGGGAAGATAATTGAGAGTGAAAATTTGATCGCTTGTTTGAAAATTTTCTTCTCAAGAACCACTGGGTTCGGAAAGATGAAAGTAATGTGGAATCATCCTTAGGTAGTGTAGATTCAAATTTGTTCAAATCATGACCCCTGGAGAAAATCTTTAAAAATCGTCTTCTCAAGAACAGCAAAGTCATGATTGCTCATCGTTTATATGGAAGCATCCTCAGGTAGTGCAGATTCAAGTTTGTTCAAATCATGAACCCCGGGTATGGCATGCCAAATTCACAAAAATGAGTTAAACATAGTTTCACAGTCGATAAACTAGGTTTATCGGTTGTAAATTATAGTCTACGGACTGTAAACTATAGTTAACGTTAATCTATATTTTACATCTGTAAACCATAATGTATGTTTCAGAACCGTAAACTATACTTAACACTGAAAACAATCATTTGCGATTGCAAAACACAGATTTTCTGATAAATACAGTTTCACGATTTGTAAACTATGGCTTACAATGATTAACAACTATTAACTATAGTTCACGGTTGTAAATTATAGTTTACAGACGTGAATCTTTGTTTATCAACAAAATCTATTCTTAACGTTTTATTACAGACAGATAAACTTAGATTAGCATTCGTAAACTATAGTTAACGACCATTAAATATAGTTTTACAAATGAAAATCTTCTACTGAAGAACAACAAAAGCTATGATTGGTCATATTCATATGGACGCATCCTCAGGTAGTGTAGATTCAAATTGTTCAAATTATGAACCCCGGATGTAGGGCTTGGCCAATATGAAATTTCAGACTTTTAAGGAAATATTCCACAGTAAGTTAAAGAAATATGTAAGCATCCTTAATTAGTGTACATTTAAGTTAATTCAAATCAACCCCCCTCCCCACTTCTGCTTTTTTAGTGATAGGTCGGGACCACATGCATTTTAAGCTTTCCAAACCTGGATTGATTTTTATTTTTTCCTGGCCACAGTGCTCAAGTGAGAAATGTGGCCCAAGGGCCTCTTCTTTTATTTATGTATTGATGTACAAGAAAAAATGGGGGTAACAGATAGATTTAAAAAGAAAGAATTATTTGCTAGATATTGATGTTCCTGTATTGCAGCTCATTGGAATTGTTGAAGTTTCTCCAAGACAAATGCAAAAAGGTCAAATTAAAAAGTGTTCCAGGGAAGATCTATGAAATCCCTAGCTCCAACATTCAAATTTTAATGCTATAGTTAAAGGTTTTCAAAATTAGTTAGGTAAAGATCAGACGGTCAGAATAAATGGTACCCAATGAAAGGGTTTGTAAAATGGAACATACCTGTGAAAAGGACGGTCCTAACCCTTACCGTTCTACAGGTCATTATGTCGGTACAATGTACCCAAATACAGAAACTGACGTAAAGAATACACCTGTGAAATATGAAAGCCATAACTCCAACTAATCAAAGGTTATGGACAAGGTTAAAGATCTTTTCGAACAGACAGGCAAACCGACGGGTGAACAAATAAAAACTCTATGCACCTGATTTTTTTTCGATTATGGGGGCATAATAATAATTAATAACACAGTACTTGGCCAAAAAGTACTTCGATGAATAACTGAATTTTATCTGCTTTGAAAGATTGTTTACATGTATAAAAAATGTGTCAAGAGAAATAATTGCGTACATGTGTCTTTATTCAGGTGTCACAAATATCTTATTTGATTTAATTTGTCCTGTTGGGGTTATACACTTCCCGAATTATTATTGAAGATTAAAGGTGATTCTTGGGTCAAATTTCTGTATAGCGGAAGAATAATTCATTCATTGTTTAAGTTCCAATATGACTTTTTTTTTTACCTTCGATTAAGATACTTCCAATAAATTAGCTTAATTTTGGTCGTATAAACGACAGGAATACTTATATTTTTCATACAAATTCAGGAAGTTTCCGTATTCCACAAAGGATGTAGTAATGGCCATTATCCGTATCAAACAATAACTTCCTAGACGTTTAATGATCAAATCAGCGACGAATTAATGCAGACCGTTTAAAGAATTCAGAAAAAGGAATAGTGTCTTCTCTTTCATATCAGTTGACGAAAAATCGAGACATACAGAACATAATGAAAAGAACCAACCACATAATTTGCTTTATTGTGATCCTCCAGGCTGCCTTAGCTGAAGAGGACGCAAGAGAAGGGGCACAGGTCACTCCTGGGAATACAGATGTTTGTCCATACTGGGACTTCACTTATCCATACACCAGTGGAGTGGACTCTTCTTGTTGGTTTTCTGTGTCAGAATCAACCAAGAAAAGGTTCCTTCACGAAGTTGCACAGAACTCATACAGTCTTGTAAATTTTGTGCTCCGCTTTGAGAATGTTTCCAGCAAACAAATCAATGAAACAAGATGCGTTATACAAGGTAACAAATGGACGTGGACATTTCCTGGACCTAAAGGGTCCAGACAATACTTAAACTGGCCATTAGGCTACCGAGTCTGGTCTCTCGGTCTCTTGGATGTCAACACCCTGGAACATTTTTCTGTTCCGTTAAGAGTTCATGGAAATTGTCAAATCCAATATGGTGCTAACGAGACAACACAACGGATTTCCTTAGCTCTAGCCAATCTGACAGATTATCTTGAATCTAAAACTAAGGATCGCGATATTAACGGGATGGCGGAGTATTATAATCAGAGCTACTGGTGTTACAGGGAACGCATATTCATCAAGAGTCATGCACTTTATTCGCTCTGTCTTAATGTCATTTGTCCTTTGGAAGCAATGGGCTATCGATGTTGTCGCTGGAAGTGGAAATTCGTGGCGAAAACACGAATTTTGGAGTGTTCTGGAACTTACCTGAAATACAGAAAAATTGGCGGGAAGTTACCGTTTGTGCTAGGTCTGGTTTTATACATGTATTTCCCCCTTTTTCTCGTGTGGTTTCTGAAATATGTCCATGAAATCACATTTAGAGGTAGTTCAAGCTATCATGAATTCCTGAACTTTTCAATCAGCGACATGGAAGGTCATATTCAAGTAGCTGAAAATAAGGAAAGTTGGATTTTTTATAATCCTGTACATATTGGAACCATTATAACAAATGCTTTTAACTCTTGCTGTGTAAAATGCCCTATTTGGTCTTCAAGAATTGTTAGAATTACTTTCTTTTTCGTAAGCATATCAATCATCGCTCTAAAGGTACTACTGCATGGACTAATGCAATACAGCGACATAGTTGCAAGTGTAAAGAAAGGTGTACCCAACGATTTCCAGTCCATGTTGGCGGGATACGAGCTGAGCAGTAAAAATTTTCTTGGAGTGTTTGGGGGACCTTTCCTAGCGTGTCTGTTATACGCCGTGTGTTTCATATTAAGTACATGTGTTCCCTCCGACCTGGCAACATTTCTTGCAAAAGGACTGGTTGAGAACAAAAATGAAGTCACATCCCCTCTAAAAATTAATGCATTTGTTCGAGTGAAATTTGGAGCCATGAAAACAACAGAACCTGTAAATGGGTACGAAAAAATATTCCGTGTCTTTCTATCTCAGCTTTTTATGGTTCTGAACCCATCTTTCTGGAAATTTGCTGCAATCACACAGATTAGGCGTTGGAGTAAGTACAGTCTTCACGCATGGAGGAAATCCGCATTTATTGGAAGAATATTTCTTTTCATAACACCTCTGTATGTTTTGTTTTCTGTCTTGGAACTAGCGTTGTGCCTTTTGCTTTATGGAATCCCATTGATTAGTTTCATTATGACGATAGCACGTGCATACGTCATTGAACCTTGGCGGGATCTAGACATAAGTGCCCCTTTAAAAGTAATATGCTGTCTTTTTGCGTTCTGCTTTGTGGCGTTCAGCAATTACATGTTCAGTATAATATTTGTCGACAGCTTCATCTTTATTTGCGGAGTGTTTGTGTATACATACACTGGGTTATTTGCGCACCCAGAGGTAACTTATGGATACCTTATATTTTCTTTTACGGTCCTTATGTACATGTTCGACAGCCTTAATGACATTTCGAAGTTTTACGACAATATATTCCTGCATACCAGAAAAATATGCAAGAAAATACACAAGTATGGTCAATATCCAGATATAGCTTTGTTCAAAAGGGAGGAAGAATGCAAAGGCATCCCGAAGAATCTTTTCTTTTTAATTGTGAAGAAGTACAGGCCCATCAGACAACAGGTTTTTATATCTCTCTTAAAATTAAGCGTGATTGTCCTTGTTTTATATATTTCTGTTGATCTCTTGTTAGAATTCTCCGTATCTAAGAACTTAAGTTTACTTACACAGGCTGCAGCCACTATTATTGTGTGTCTTGTACCAAAGGTTTTAGGAGACTCATGCTCTATGTTTAAGAAACGAAGGCATCACAGTCAGTCGCGGGAAATTAAGAGGATCATACACGAGTTTTATCTTCATTCCACAGACGGAGGCAGCCAAGGAGGTCCATCAAATTTAGAAGTTTTGTAGACAGTGTTAGATTTTTTTCCAAGAGCACTTGTCCAAACAATCGAATACACTTTAAGTAAAACTGTATTATGGAATTATTCTTCGTTAGTTGAAGTCGTGAAATTATATCACAAAATCAATAGTTTAGAAATGTTATTAACTCTCTTATAGCAACTACAATATTAAGCCCACTTCTTGTAGTCTTTTGTACGTGTTTTTTTAAAACCATTCAATGTATATGTTCTGATAAATTACATACTGATTTACTGACTGTATAAGGGCGATAGAAAATGTGGGATGCATTGTCAACAGAACTGGTTATAATGATAGCTTTCACCATAGGACGCTGGAGCGAGATTACAATTTTTACATTCATGCATCTTGAGTTGTAACCCTCGCGTTTGCGTTTTACTACACTTCCGTTCTCGTTCTTTTGCTCGTCCCACGGGTGATAGTGGCCTTATTAGTACAGTATTTTAAAGGACAAGATAGGCTAAGACGCCATTTTGTCCCCTGGTTTGAGGTGTCTTTTAGAATTACTAATTACTTAATTACAATTAAAAACCTGTTGTTACCCATGCCACAAAATGAGTATTGTTTCTAAGTTATGGGATACACAGAGGTCACAGGAAGATCAGAAAAAATGCCCGTTTCCTAATTTTCTCATTTTTACATCAAATAAGAGAGCAGATTCGGTCATAACCTTACCGTGCCTTGTCCTTTAAACTGCATGTATAAAGAGTGTTTTAAGTTTTGTAAATCATTTACTGTATACAAGAAATTTTTCGCCCCCGTTTAATTATCGCCCCTTTCGCCCTCGTCGGAAGTGGGCGAATTTAAAACGAGGCGAATTGAAAGTAAACAGTATAATATCTTAAACAAAAATCTTTTCGGGCGAATTTAAAACGGGGCAAACTTGTTTCCGAATATGAAAGGGCAAAAAAAAAAACAAAACAAAACAAAAACAAAAAAAAAACACGGGGAGAAAATAACTCTGTATACATTATTCATTCGACAAAAAATGAAAAAAAAAAACAAAACAAAACAAAATCAATAGTTTAGAAATGTTATTAACTCTATATAGCAACTACAATATTAAGCCCACTTCTTGTAGTCTTTTGTACATGTTTTTTTTTTAAAAACCATTCAATGTATATGTTCTGATAAACTATAAGGGCGTATAAGGGCGATAGAAAATGTGGGATGCATTGTCAAAAGAACTGGTTATAATGAAAACTTTCACCATAGGACGCTGGAGCGAGATTACAATTTTTACAATCACGCATCTTGAGTTGTAACCCTCGCGTTTGCGTTTTGCTACACTTCCGTTCTCGTTCTTTTGCTCGTCCCACGAGTGATAGTGGCCTTATTAGTACAGTATCTTAAAGGACAAGATAGGCTAAGACGCCATTTTGTCCCCTGGTTTGAGGTGTCTTTTAGAATTACTAATTACTTAATTACAATTAAAAACCTGTTGTTACCCATGCCACAAAATGAGTATTGTTTCTAAGTTATGGGATACATAGAGGTCACAGGAAGATCAGAAAAAATGCCCGTTTCCTAATTTTCTCATTTTTACATCAAATAAGAGAGCAGATTCGGTCATTACCTTACCGTGCCTTGTCCTTTAAACTGCATGTATAAAGAATGTTATAAGTCTTGTAAATCATTTATGCATTCAACAAAAAAATGGTTATTGGTAGGGAGGGGGGGCTCAAGTCTAGATTCAGACATGCTAGAAGTGCACTTCAAACGAAAAAAAATACTTCCGTTTCATATTTTCCAAACAATTTATTCTTAAATATGTATTATGGATGTGTCGGTATATTTCTGTGCGGATGTATGTGTGTGAGGGAGAAGGTGTGTTTTTTATGCAAATTATAACTATAAAAGCATATTAGAATAAACGGAGATTGTAACTATAGACAAGATTAGAACAAGCATGAAGATTACTGTAAAATATACATACATATATAGAGGAAGGATGACAAAATATATTATTGTCTATGCCTTTTCATTGCACACATATATACAAAGTATAATAAAAAGTAAAATGAAGCACTCACATACAGTAATACACATTTACACTTATATATACTTCTACAAAAGTAACTGAAGTGTTTCTGATTTGGAATGTACTTCCTCCTTCGTTGTATTCAAGTCAGGAAATGTAATACTATAAAGTAGGGAGCCCAGTTCTTTCTCTGTAGAAATCTCTGTTGATTTTTTCATTATTGTCATTTCATTATAACACTGTACCCTGGTTTTCCAAATTTACATTGTAGAGGTTCGCTCTCGAGTAAACACACTAAAACGTCTCCTTAATGACGCTCGAATTAATTTCGGTGATCCAATCTGCGCATGAGAAAGTTTTCGCTGTGCTTTGGAGGACGAATCTCTTTTTTCACTTATCTGTAAGTAAGTAATGCCGATAGTTAATATAATTTTAGAAAAAATACAAGTGGAAATGCACCAATACAAACTATAAGTAAAACAATAAAGAACATACGCGAACAAGGCGAGCACATTGCCTTTTGATACAAGCAAGTAAAAAATTATATATCTATTAACTATCATAATTGTTTTCTTTGATATTTTATTAACATTAACGTGTACTCAAGGTAAAATCTTTAATCTCAAAAATATTATTATTCGGTTTAATATGAAATAGCAAATACACATTCGTGATTTTTATTGCTTAGGTTCGAACCCCGAAAATTCAAAAATTTTACATTTTATATCATAGAAACATTTTCGCTGGAAGAATTTTCAGCATAAAAGTTGTGTTCTTTAAATTTCATACTATTCAAAAATAAGAATTTTACTTAAAATGCTAAATTTACAAGTTATATAAAGTACTTTTTATGTTATAGGCATTTTGCACACTTTCTTCGTTAATCTTCTTTCATGAGAAAGGTGTTGTTTTGGTAACCGAAACCTGTGTATCAATGAGTATGCCTAACTAAAATTTTAAGTCTGTTTGCAGAAAATGAGTAACTCAAAACAAAAAGCATGTGCAACTCAGTTAATTGTCTGAATTCTTCTCCCTTCACTCAAACTAGCAATACCTTACGAATAAAGTTTTCCTGCTTCAGGAGTGTCCAGTTACCCTGACTAATGAATTCAGAATCTAAAAGTGAAAAGCCAATGTCAAGTGTGTATAATCAGTGAATATTGTATCAAAGGTCAGTTTGTGAGGGTGTATTTGAAGATTCGGTCAAACGGTTCTTGATCAAAAACGTAGGTCAAATAAATTGTTTTAAAGCTAAATCTCTTGTTTTGAATATTTTATTCCCTATACAAACTCACCCAGGCTTTACCTAGAGATGTGAAGTGTCACTGACCAAAGATTTCATATTAGATCAAAATAAAAATAACTTTGATGGAACATTCTCCCATCTTTCTTGTTTAACTAAATAAGACTAGTATGCAGAAAAAGATTCTCAGTTAAACTCTTAAGCGATGTTTGAAGTCCAAGGTCATGCAAACATAGTATTATAAAGGATAGCCTTTTCTTCGATTCCTTTCCTTTGCCAAAGCTTACATGTACCTAGCTACTACATAGCTAAATAACCATAACTTTTTCTCAGAGGAGACCAGTGCCTTGTTGTAAATTTTGAATTTAAGGACCTGGATGTTAATACCATTGTAATGGTTCTCAGGGCCCAGACCATGCCTTGTTGTAAATTTTGAATTTATCGGTTGACAGTTCATACAACTGTTATGCTTTATCCACAGCATTGGAAGTCTACAGTGATACAGTACCTTTCTAATAAGTTCGTGAAACACGCGTTTAATGTTCTCAGTATTAGCGGAGGCTGAACATTCCGTCAACATAAGTCCATCTGTTCGCCATTCCAACTCTTCTGTTGGTTGTTTTGTAACAGTTCTAAAAGGAAAACAGTGTAAATGTATGTTTGATATTAGAGGGGGTACGAGTCCCATAGAGGTATGTCATGATCAGCGTGTTAGGAAGTAAAGCATGTAGAATGTGTTTATTGTAAATGGACAAGAAGGGGGTGGAGAGAGGTCAAAGTCATATCCTTTACTACTAGTATTCTTACAGCTGAAAAGCTAAAGTGAGCTTATACCTGATCACATTTTGTCAGTCTGTTCGTCCGTTCTTAAGCTTTTTACATATTCGACTTCTTCTCCAGAACCACTGAGCTATTTTCATGGGGGAGATAGGGAAAACATGAAACTTTGGCGACATCGTTTAAAAAATCTTTCTTCTCAAGAACCACTGGGTCAAAAAAGTTGAATATTACAAGAAAAATTTTTCACATAGTGCAGATTCCAGTTTGTTCTAATTATTCCGGGCGTAGGGGCCACATTGGCGAATTAGATTTTTACAGAAGAATATAAAGAAAAATTATTTAAAATAGTCTTATCAAAAGCAGCAAAAACCATGATAGGTCACATTTTTACACTCTTAAAAAAGTTTTACTTAGTAGTCATTTTTTACTTGAAATAACAAAGATAAGTAATAGATAATTACTAAGCATTTACTTAAAATTTAAAATCAATTACTGAAATATATGTCATTACTAGATTCAAATGTTTTACTTGATTTTTGCATTTTAAAGAATTGTTTTACTTACACACTAAAAAGTTTTACTAAGTAATTTATATTTACTTAAATTTGTGTATATAAGTAATAACATTACTTGGTCTTTACTTACATTTTACCACTATTTACTATATAATTAATATTTTAATGCCCCTGTAAACGAAGTTTCGGGGGTATATAGTTTTTGTCGTGCATGTCTGTCTGTCTAGCTGTCTCTCTGTTTGTCTGTTTATCTGCAGAAACTTTAACCTTGCCCATTACTTTTGATTTAGCGGAGCTATGACTTTCATATTTCACACGTGTATTCCTTGTGACAAGACCTTTCTTTGAGTATCACCAAATTTGACCTTGACCTTGAAGTTTGACTCACTTATACACAAAAAATCCAAACTTATTCTTTATCAAAATCTTTTGAGTTTTGAACAGTAAATACCAGGACATTTATACTTCACATATATATTTTTTGTTGAAAGAAATTTCATTGAATACCAACAACTATGAAATTTTGACCTTGACCCTGGAGATTTCCATCCTTATGAAAAAAAACTTTAACCTTGGCCATAACTTTTGAACGGTAAGGAAGAGTGCTTTCATACTTACATATATGTAATCATTTTGAGAAGACCATTCATAGGATACCAAGAACTTTGACCCTTTGACCTTGACCTTGGAGTTTGACCCACTTTTAAAAAGCAAACCTTGACTGTAACTTTAAAAGGATTAGGGTTAGTGCATTCATACTTTACATAGTTCATCCTTGTGACAAGACCTTTCTTTGGGTACCACCAAATCTGTCCCTTTGTCCTTGGAGTCTGACCTACATTTCAAAATTGGTAACCTTGACCATAACTTCTGAAGGGTTGAGGCAAGTGTTTCCATATTTCATCACATATGTATTTTTTGTAGCAAGACCTTTCATTAGATACTAATAACCTTGACCTTTTGACCTTGGAGATATCAAGAAATCCCAATAATTTAAATTTGCATATAAGAAAAGTTTAACCTTTGCTATGTTGCCATGCAGGGGCATAGGTGTTTCACAAACACATCTTGTTTGAATTGTATTTAATTGATTTACTTAAAACAAAAATTTATTTACTAAATCAAGGAAAATTCAGATCAGTAATTACTTAAATATGGTAGTCTAGTCACTAATTGTCTGTGAGGAGGAGTTATCTTTCTTCTAAATATACCTTCATGTGAAAAAAAAAGTCACGCTAATAAAAATGCGATATTAAGTACTTGAAATGTTTATCCATTTTAAAATGGTCCTTTAAAAGATACAACTTATTCAATTTTTAAGGCTTTCGAAGTTGGAATCAAATATTTTATTATTATATATAATAAAACAATTACAAAGAAATTGGCAAAAGAAATAGAAAGTATAATTGTTTCCATCATACGTAGATTTCTTCTATTAAACTATTCAGAGGGCCCAATTAGGGAACTCTGATAAAGAAATCTGTGAGTAGTACTCACATGTCAGAGGTTCGGTACCTTGCAGTGTTTCTAGTAAATAATGTCGATTTTAGTAAATATGATAAGTATTTCATTTACTTAGTATTCTTTTGAGTAATAATATTCTAGATTTTAATTAATTTCAGAATTACATTTACTTAGTAATAATTCATAAAATTTAGTAAATCGAAAGCATATTATCTCTAAATTAAGTAATAATAATTTAACAAAAATGAGTAGTTCATTTACTAATTTAAAGTAATACAATTCCTATAATTTAAGTAATTCTATTGATACTTAGTAAATCATTTTATAAGTTAATGAATTCATCCTTATTACTAATTATTATGTTTACAATTACTAACCATGATACCAGTAGTCAATTACTTGCTATTCTGACTAAATGGATTACTAATTATTACTAGTTTTTCTTAATCTAATATCTTATTTTAAAAACAACAAGTAAAACTTTTTTTAGAGTGTATGGAAGCATTCGTAGATAGTGTTGAATCAAACTTCAAATCATGACCCCTGCGGTCAGGGTGGTGCCACAGCAGTCAATAAAAATTTCTTCTCAAAGCCATGATTTGTCATATTCAAATAATTCAAAAGCATTCTTGGGTAGTGTAGATTCCAAGTTTGTTCAAATCATGTCCATTAGGATAACATGCAAGGTCTCAATTAATAGAAGAACAAATTTCGGGACCACTTTAATTACAGGTGTGCGATGTGGCCAAATGGCCTCTTTTTAAAGAAATTGCTCGTTTGGTAAGGTTGATTTGTTTATGTTACGATTGTTCAATCAGGTTTATTTAACCAGTATGTTTCTAAATTGCCGTAAATGATATTTGAAGATGTTGCATATACCCCCTGAATTGATTCACCGTATTTACGACAAAGTAAACATAATGACTGACTCCTCTTATAAATATTTATCAAAAGTCTGCAGAATATATCATGTTAATAAAAGAAGAAAAAAAAAGCTTCGAATGGAAAGTAGTATAGAGTAAGCACTGCCAGATTACAAGTTCATGGGATTCAATCAAAATACTCGAACTTTGCAAATCCAAGGTTAGACTCTGGCTTTTATTAAGTTGTACGAACTACGAACTACGAACCTTGAATGTTCTAAATCACATTTGTTTCCCAACAAGACCATAGGAATAATCTGATTTGGTTTCTTTTCTTTCCTCAGCCAATCCAAGATAATTTCCGCCAGGTCAAAACTGTTCCGGTCCGTCACGGAATAAACGATGACAGCGCCATCTATTTTGTGAAGCCAGTCTCTTGCAGCCGACTTCCGGTCCAGATTCTATAAACATAATAATGTTTTGAAAATACCCATGATTGGTCGCTTTTCATGACTGTGAAATGGGGCCCAAGCCCCAAGCTGAAAGAGATTATATAAAAATTTGGCATTCTTTAAAACAAAATTTTTCATTCAATGAAATATTGTTTTACTTAATACAATAGATATCATTTCCATATCAAACTTCATATACATCGGATAAACAGAAAGAAAAGAAAGAAAATTCCACAATATCTTTAGAGATCTTTTTTTTTTTTTTTTTGCTCTTGATTAAAGAATAGTCTTATATACATTATATAAGATAAACACCAATGTTTGGAGAGATTTGCTTCCGACAGCTTAATCGCGAAACAGAGTAAATGAATCTTGGCGCGATGAAATCCTTTCCGCTGAATATTTCAAACACTGATGATTATATTTTAATGATTTTTAAAGAATCCGATTCCAGTTTAATATACGCTTTACACACAGTAGCGATGAAAGATTTATTATTGCTGTATATATTTATTCGTTACTGCTGTTTAAAAAGGTTTTTATCCTCCAAAAATAATTTTCATAATTATAACCCCGCTCCGAATGAGAGGGGGAATTCTGCTTTACCCTTGAGTGTCTGTGAGAGAGGGTGTGTGTGTGTGTCTCCGTTCGTAACAAATTTTTATCAAAACTGTTACCCACTATTTTAATGCATGTATAAAAAGAAACATGTTAATCGGTGAATACAATTTTAACATACCTTCCCTGCAACGTCTGTTACTTTAATGGACACTTGTTTTTCATCAACGGTGACATTTCTTTCATACGTCACTTCCTCTAAAGAAGCGTATTCACTTAGATATCTTCCGGTCAAAAACCGCACCACAATAGCTAAAATAATTAATTGTAGGATTGGTATATTTAAGTAAATACAAGGTAGGGAAGAAAAAGTAATTAAAAAATAAAATTCAAAACTTCTGAAAATATTAATATTCATTTCAAAAAGATTTAAGATATTGCACATTCACTTTAATTAAATTTATACAGTTCATTGACGGAACTCTTAATCAAAGCCTCTCTCTCTCTCTCTCTCTCTCTCTCTCTCTCTCTCTCTCTCTCTCTCGTGCTTTCATTTATAAACTAATAGGTAATGTTTGTATAGCATGATAAATATATGTAATGACAAGAAAGGAACCATTCATCACCGTTTAAATAAACATTTATTGCTATTTCATCAGAAATTTCACTCCTATAGGTATTTCTTATTACAAATATATGTTTACTACACAAGTGAAATTCCATCTTAAACACCTGGGTGTATGATTTAAAAATACAGCTCAACAAACTTTTTAAGCTCACATGGTTTTTCGCACAAATTAAGGTCACATTGTTGTAATTAAAAATACCATTTTTATACTGTAGTACAATAACACATCCCTTCGTTATATTACATATAATGTCAAGCATAATTGTCTTTTAAAATTATTATATTAAGTTTCCAAAGTGGATGTTTTAAAGGGGAACTTATGAATAAATGGTAGGATGTTTCGCCTATACGATTCTACCATAGGTTTTTTACAAATCGTATAAATCGAGATTTCCTTGATACCATGTAGATGAACATTTTAAATTTTCTTCTTCACGATGAGTTCTTTTTAAAAATCTTTGCTCACTTACTATACTCCTCTTGGATTTGTCGAAATGTAGCGCCAAAAAGGGATAACATTGCAGAAGGAAACCACACTAAAGGGTAGGAGAATGAAGTATTGTTTATTTTTTTTTAAATAGTAAATTCCTTCTATGGAAAGGAAAATTCTTCTGCATTTACGGTTTGAAAGTTAAAATTTTGCAGTGGGATAAATCTCTCATGATTCTAGATTTTAGAAGTTGACTTTAAAAAATCCCACCTTATTAACATAGAAAGCAGTCAAACAGTTGAAAAATACTATTACCACTCCGAGTTAAAGAGTCAAAATGTATAGAAAATACAAGTTACAGTAGCTGTTCTGTGCCCATGTCTACGTTTCTGCCAAGAGCTATTGCTTTCAAAAGAACAGATAAAAACACAGCTGCAAATTGGCAAGAAAGCACAAAAATTCACATGAGAATAGTTGTTATTTTTCAGCCATGAATATATCAAAGTTCTACCAATTGATTTGTGCAAATTATGTTTCAGTAAATGAAATAAAACTCAAATTATGTAAACAAATACTTTTAAAATGTATTTTGTTGTCGGTACATTATAACAATGTGACCTTAATTTGTGCGAAAAACCATGAGAGCTTAAAAAGTTTGTTGAGCTGTACATTAACAAAAGAACTTTTCAATTCTTTTCAAAAGAAAAGGAAATTACTTAATGTTCTTTTTTATTAGATTTCAGATCAAAAATTGCTCACTGCAAAAGAAATATAATTCTATTTTTAGAACTTATTCAAAACGAAATAAGAACGCCGTATTTCTCTTTTATGGCTAAATACTCTTTGAGCTGATGAAAATATAGGATATTTTAAAACCATTTTTCTTCACCTTGAAAGTCGAGAGGATCCTTAAAGCTAGGAAGTATGAAAAAGTTCACGACCCCTACTTGTCATTATTGTGAGAAAATAAAAAAAGAACATCAATCAGTTAACGAAAATAACAACTGATGGAGATGTATTGGCACTCGGCGAGAAATTTAAAACACATGTTATTTTCTTTTACACTAATTCATGTAATTACTTCATAAATAGTCTGGGGAAAAATCTCAAATGATAGAAGATACCCCAGGAAATTTATATAAAGTAATCGTTTGTACTTATCAATGATTTTCAAAAACAAAAAAAATCAGGTGAACAAAAATGTTTATACTTTGGCGTGTGAACAAAAATACTTTAATGAGAACATTATTTTAAGGTGCAGTTAATACCCTTTGATATTAGACTGCTTTAGGTTCCTACAGCTCGATGAAAACTGGGCTCTCAATGATAAAGGTATCAACAAGTAATTTACAGAAAACCTGCTCAAGGTTACCCGGGATACATCTCGGAATAAAAACAACAATAAATATCAATTTGTGTATCATGTTTACACATTTCTCTTTACCCTCCGACTAAAAACATCCTTAAGAAACTTAATGTGTCTTTCTTATCTGAATAAAAGAGAATTTGGTATCAAGCATAACTCAATAAAGAGTTCATTGTATTCCGAACTGACGGTATTAATCGGCATATTTACAATTAAGTTATCAGAAGCTCAACTTTTATCAGAACAGGATTTGTTGAATAAACAAAACTTTGTTAACGGGCGAACATCTATGACTGAAGAAGATTGGAACTATCGCATTAAACTTATAAGTGGTGGTTCTTACCAAAGTTAAAGTAATACTTTAGATATAACTCGATTTGTCTTTTAAAAAATATTTATGCACTTAAATTATACGTATGTTTAATATGACAGCGCTTACAGAATGGCCAAGTGGTATAATAATGTAGAAAAACATGCAAATCTTCGAGATTTCCGAAGATTCGAGATATCAAGGGTAAAATAGTGAATGAATAGGTTGGGACTTCTAAATCACTTTGACATATCCATGGTATTCGAGATACCGGTGTACAAGATACTAGAGTTCAACTGTACATCTTATAGACCAATTCATTATTCCTACATGCATTGTTACAACCACCGTGTACATCCCAACATGCGGGGTGTATACTATGTTGTGCGCGGGGTGTATGCTTCCGAAGCGAGAGAAAGGGGGTCAATGTAGGTTCTTTGTCCATTTTCTCAACTTACAGATATTTTTCGCCAGAAAGCACATGCCTACGGAAGAAAGCATTATCTAAGGAGTATATGGATACCAATGAATCCACTGGACACCTTCTAGTTTTATCAAACACCTCAACACAATTCCGAGGATCGGAGCAAGATTGACGCTACACTGTGTTTATGATCAAATATCAGAAGAAAGCTATGCTTTATCATCACTTTTATATTATTGTTAAATACATGTTTACAATATAAACGTTTGTACAAATTGTCTGTAAATAAAACAGTTCGTATATAAAGATATTG